CATTCGTCGTGTGATCTTTTCCTCGCGCATGGGCAACGCACACAAGGGAGGGAGGGGGAGGGAGGGAACCGGAACCATAAGCCCTCACTTCCACCTTCACATACACGTGTGTACGAAGAGAGCCAGGCACCGTCCTTTTCTCTCTCTCTCTCTCTCTCTCTCCCGTTCTTCCCTTTACTTCTCAGACGATAGAGGACAAGTCCTACTCCGTCCTTGTCGGACCGATAGGATGCTGCCAGGCTTTCTTCGTATACAGTCGGGGCCCAGGATCAGAGTAGTAGGTTGTACAGGTATGCATGCGGTGGGTTGGCGGGGGGCATCCCTGCGGCGTTGCCGCGTCTCTTACTCACCGTGCCCTGAGAGAGTAAGAAACGAGAGAGAGAGAGAGAGAGAGAGAGGAGAGGTAACAAGGAATGGGAGAGAAAGAAGGAATGAGAAAGGATGAGAGAAGGATGAGAAAGGAGGAAGAAGTAGAAGCGACGAGCTGGGCTCTCGCACGGCCACGAGCGCAGCTCGAACGAGTCTTTCTGCCTTTTCGCGGAGGCAATCGAGTTTGCACGGGAAGAGGACTGCCTCTCTCGCGAGACCCGTTCCCGGCTACCGCCCGTCACCGCCGCTCCTTGCTCCCGATATCCCGATGTCGCTCCTGCACCGGGGAATCGCTAACTTCTTCTTCACTACTGCCGAAGAGGAGAAAACTCACTCCGTCTCCCTATATTCCTGGAAAACGCGTGAGACCCTGCGAAAGAGCATTGGAAACTTGCGCGTTATACGACGAGAGATCACTCGCTAATGAAAGAAATCGCTCATACCGGGATTAGTTAAAATTTAATCAATCTCTTGAGGAGTTCACCGAGAAGAACTGCGTCGAGGTAGCGATTAATGTATTTAAGGTAAAGGAGAGGTCAGCGGAGAAATTAGCGAGGAATGAAATGTAGGAGAGAAGAACGGAAGGAAACTTTTTCGTCTATCGCAATTTCGATTTCGTCCACTTCTGATTTCGCATCGGCTCTCGGCTAATGTCCGCTAATGTGCAATGGAATCGAATGAAAGTAAGTTTTCGAGTCTTGGGTAGGGTTTCATCGGTTCTCTCGGCGATCGCATCGTCGGCGAGCAAAACGATGGACTCGCGTCTGCAGTAAATGAGTTTGGAACGCGAGTGGACCGTAGCGTTCGTGGGCCTTGCTTCGAGAAAGTAATTGAGTTTCGACTGCCGTATTACAGAACTGGGTTCGTCTAAAATCCTCGAAAGAATTCGAAAGCACTCGGAAGAACTTGCACAAAAAGCGCGGCTAAATTATGTATAATCGAGAGATTATTAGTAATCTAAAATAACTCTAATTTCATAGTTCGTTCTTATTTCAAGACCTCAAGTAATGTCTTAAGAAGCTAATACGGCTCTCTAATTAGTTCGTGACATCTTAAGATTATACTTAAGACAGACCTAAATATAAGAATCGATCATAAATACTGACCTAAACATTTTTGTGTTCAATATAAAGTATATACTTCTATTATTTCGTTTAAAGATTATCATATAGATTTTAAAAGTTTTTAATTTTTAGAAAATAAATATACTATAATCACACAACTTTATTTATGGGTGTTTCACCAATGTTAAAAAACCAAATAATCGCCGATCTGAATCGATGTATCGGCATATATAGCGAGAGGACAGATTAAAGAAACGTGTGCATTCATTCAAGACTTTACACGGTAAGCAGTTTAGGAATTTGATCTCGCAAAATGTCACGCGTTGATGAAAAATTTTAAGTCCCGATAATTCGCGAGCGAGCTCTCGAAGCAAACGATATTCTCAAAGTAACGGCTGCACACATGCTCGTAAAGTTCGGGAACTAAGGTAATGATCGCACGAGTGCGATCGAAGGATAAAGTTCACGAATGTTAGCAGCAGCGGCGACGGCGATGGCGAAAGAGAAGAGCAGCGGGAAGCGTAAAGATATCGTGGGGGTAAGGATAACGAGGAGCTCGCGTTTCGTGCGAGTCGGGGGAAACGAAGTTAGCCGCCTCCATCGGCAGACACGGTCCACTGGGAACGGATCCTTGGTAAGTTCCATTAAACGCGTTACGTACCGGAAGGGGAAGAAGAACTCCCGAGGGGCAGCCAGGGAAACTTGCGGCTATGTCCGCGGTGGCCGCGATCGCGCAGAATGTAATTTGAAGATCTCGAAACTGAAACAGCCGAAATTTGCCAAGAACAAGGAATACGCGAACGGGGGAGAGTCTTGATCATTATCTAGTCAAACATAAAGAACAAGATGGCTACTTACATCCAAGATATATTCTCTGAATTTGAATCAGTGAAATTCGATTTAAAAGGAAAGGAAGTGTTTGCGTAGTGTATAATTAAAACATCAATATTTGCACGTTTCAATACTATATACATTGAAATTTTATATACTAAAATAAGATTAACTAGATGACATTGATTTTTCATTGATTAAATTTCACTATGAATTCACTGATTACCAGTGGTATCATTGTGGACTGATGTGTGATTATCCACTGATTCAAATTTAGAAAATATTTATAAATTGATACAAATTATGTTTTATATCATATAAGAAATTCAATCTTTTTTTCTCCTATAATCATCAAAAATATGTAATAAATATTAGGAGGAAAGAAGGGGAGGACTAATTCAACGTGAGAAGGTCTATTATTCCATTTTCCACTAATTTCTAGTGTTTAAATTCCCCGCTCATAATCGGAGGGGGTTTCAACCCGTTCGTGTGCATTTTATTTTACATAAACGCTCCAAAACCACACTGTACGAAATAAGGCGGGGCGCCGCGAGTTTGCTGGTCGAGTTCGTGAAGGCGTCTCTACGTCTCTCGAGCCGCGCCGACCGTCCCCAAAAGCGCGACGAAACGATCCCCTTTTAATCCCTGAACGCTAACTACCGGCACCTCGGATGATCTTGCAATTCGGAAGATTGGTCCGCATTACGAAATTATCGTTATTCCCCTCTACGAAAGGAGAGAATGAGAGAGACCGCGGAGAGGGCGAGCCATCGAGATGCCCGAGGCGCCAAGCTTTTTTTCAGTTAAAATATGGAAAACGTTCCGGGTAGCCCGTGTGGATGATCTTCAGAAACGCATAATGGGACTGGAAGGCCAATCTTGGCTCCGTTAAATCACGTTCGCAACGATCGGGACGAGGGCAGTGCACACAGAAGAATCCTTTATCCGAGCAAACAACATCCATCGCCTCGAGACACCGACTTGGTGCTCGTAAGAAGGAAAAAAAAGGGAGGAGCGAAGAAAAAGAAAATTAAAAATGCGTTACCGTGAATCTCAATGCGACGAGGAATTATATCGCGATTAAGGACAGAAGAGAAACAAAGAACTTAATTAATGTAAGTGGATCTAAAATTTCTTCCCCTCGTTTTCATCTGAATATACTTGGAATAGAATAAAATGAGTTTGAGAGGAATATATAAGAATAAGAGGTCGTCAGATTATAAAAGAACGATTTTGATGAAGTACCTAAAGATTTAGCTATCCAAAGAATTATGTAGAACGTTCAAAAACTGGTGCTTGCCAGAATGTCAAAAGTTTTTGCGGCATTGCTTGAGATTCCAACGTAATTATTTTGATGATCCAACGAAATTATTTTCAGATCTGCATCTAACTTCTTTAGATACTTTAGCAAAATATCGTTCTTTTATGAAGAATATTAAACACACGTAAAAGTTTTTGCTAATATAAAAACAATCTCTTCAGTCCTTATGTTGCAGCGTATATATCACAATATTAAAAGAGATGTTAAATAAGAACTAGAGACTTTTCTCTCACGAGACTGCAAAGAGACGAAAAAAAAAGAAGCAGGCGAATTATATAAAATAACGATCTAATATGAGTTACAGTAAATGAGGAACTCATAGCTGCCGCTGATCGGTCGCTAGGATAGACGTGTGTATAGCGGCGCGTACGCAATTAGTGTCGTGGCAATTTGGTCTTTCTTTCTTTCTTTTCTCTCTCTCTCTCTCTCTCTCTCTCTCTCTCTCTCTTCCTTTCGTATTCAGCGTCTCCGTGCAATAAATCACGCGGCCGCCGCGCCGTGCCGTGCCGCGAAATTACGACCGGAGCGTCAGGAAATGTCGACTTGATGCGAACTAACGTGTCTCTTACGTTCGCTTCTCCGTTAGTCGAAAGAAGGCCCAATGTTTCAGATCAGGACAAAGAAGTGTTTGAAGTTAATACGGCGTCTTACTAATTTTCAAAAAAGCAATAATAGTTTTTTTCATTTCTTTATTTTATACTTTTAAAAATGCAATTTTTTTTATTTTGATAAGAAACTCTAGAATTGTGAAATGTGTACTATTGGGACTGTCATCATTTTTATATTAATAGAATAGCGTGCAAACTTCGCAATCTAGACAATAGATATATAAAATGACTATTACTATAGTCGTCCTAAGATCTTTTTCGCAATTAATTAATTCACATTAATTTATTTTAGTAATATCACGTTACAATTATTTCCACACAACCTTAATTTACTTTAAACAAAGTTCTTCGCGGATAATTGAGGATACTAACACCAAATTGTTTCTCCTAATAAAACGCAACGATCGACGAGATCAAAAAGTATTTTAATTTCCAGATTAAAAGAGGTAGCTTTAGTAGACGCGAAGATAATTAAGTTATCCGCGATTCGAGTTGACGATAAGCGATCATCGAAGAACTCCGCCTTCTCGAGACAATCGACGGATCGGTCGATCATGTGGCAACAGCAGTGCGGGCGGTTAACTAACTGCTTTGGATCCTACCTAACCCGATAGCCGATACATCTGGCTAAGTATACATCCGAGAGTGGCAATCGGACGCGATGTATCGCGACCTGAGGTGTCGCTGTGGACTATCATCTCAGCTTGATTAGCCCTACGTAGATAGATACAGGCAGAAGAAGGTAATGAAGAAGAGAATAGAGAACTGAACGAACACGAACGAGCGAATGGATGAACGAGCGCTTACCTTGTTCCGCCTGGGTCCCTCGCGGGCAGATTAGTAACAGCAGCAACGGCAGAAGGTGGGCAGCGGAAGCAGCAACGGCGGGGCCGGGGGCTACGAGGGCTGACACGCCCGCCATATTGAAGGGGGCCATTCTTATCGCCGTGTGGGCCCCACTGCTGTCGCGGTGGACGGCCGCCGGTCCTCTCACGATCCGTGCGAGAGGATGCAGCACACCGGCCAGCGTCGTCACTCTCGCCTCCTCATACCTCCCCTTGCGCTTTGCGTCGCGTCGTCTTGCGCGTCACGGCAGCCACTGATTGCCACCGCCGGATTCCTCCACCCTCTTCGTCGGCACCACCACCTCCGCCTTCCTCACCGGCCACTACTTTCCCTGCCCGCTTATGCTCCAGCTTATCGCTCCGACGGCCGCTCTTATTTATCTTTAGAATTATTCCAACGGACTGATGACACAGCAATAGCAATCACACGTTCTTCGATATTTCTTGTCTCAAAAAGGAGACTGTGTGTGATAACGTTATAAATGTATAATATTGCCCAATAGTTTATATCACAGAACTATCGTCTTGCTTCATCTATAGTGCGTAGCTTCTTTTAATAGTAAACGGGGATCGATATTTTTTGTTCGTTTTACATGGTGATACGATGTTTTACAGCTCTACTACGGCATTTTACTGATTGCTGCATCTGAAAGAAATAAAGATAATTCATGTTAATTAAAATATAAAAATACTATTTTTTCTACTTGCGTATTATTTGTACCTTCCTTTACTTCCAAGGACATCGTATATGTAGACAAGCAACATCGTTTTTTATCTCATATGAATAAAAAAGCAAAACCAGTTGGTTTGTTTTTTCTAATAATCTTCTAATGGCATCTTTGAAAGGCACCATATCATTTTCATAATTCTCGTTGAGGAAGGTATTGCTTTATCTACGATGTTGCTGATCTATGCAAAATATTTTCATTTTTTTTTAATATATTGACATTGCAAGTCAAATAATGCATTGCAATTCTTGACATCATGTGTAGAAAATTTATGATAATCCGTGTAACAATAAAATTACATTAAATAAGATATTTTTTTAGATATTATAGTTTACAACTCAAGTTTTTTTAATTTCTTTGATATTAATATTATTAATATATAAACATATGTTGATTTTATTGATAATAGTAGAGTTGCTTATAGTAAATATTTTAATAATTATATATATTATATTTCAGGGGAGGTGGAGTTTTATTTGATTTATTATTTGATTTTTAGAGTATGTGAGAAGGTAATAGAGTTAAGTTTAATAGTGATAATTATTCGATTTAGGGGAAATGATTTATATTATATATTTAATTTTAGAAAATTTTAATGTATACAAAAAGAAGTTTAAATAATTGAAAATATAATTGAAAATATAATAATAAAAAAGTGGGAAGAAGAGAGAGAAAGTACTAAATGTTAATGTATAAAAAAGTTTAAGAAATGAATTGCGCATCATTCCTATTATTCCGCATTGTTCCCCTAAAAATACCTTGGATTTACTTATCTATAGATCCGATTTACGTTTATGATGTTTAAGAATCATTTCATCTTTGTTATTTATAAAATATTAAACAAGGACAAATGATACTCACGAGCGTTGTGAGCATAAATCGGTCTGCAGCCTAGGTCTAACAAACTGGCGAGAAAAATGTGTCATATGTATAAGAGAAAGAAAGTAAACCGGATGACATATCTCGAGTTCAAGGTTAACTCACATTTGTGAAGGGTTTCAGTGGCACCGACCGGAATTCATTATTCTCTAACGGCCAATTATCGTGGAAAAGAAAATAGTGCTAGTAAGGAGAGAGTACAAAAACAGCGAGGGGATAAAAGAAATAGGAAAAGGGACGAAAGCCCTGTACAAAACTTTGGGGTTCATCACGATAGTGGAAGGGTGTTGGGATAAGGCGAGACGGGAGAGCAAGGGGTTCCAGGATCAATACCATGCGTATATCCATCTCCCTCTCGCTTCCTCCATCTTCGATCTCCGTCTTTCTCTCACGCTCGTAGAGAACGCAACACGATAGGAAGAGAGAAACAGAAAGGGGAAGAGAGAGAGAAAGAGAGGAGGGGGGGAGGCGAAGCATCAACCATCCCTTTTCGACCAACTGCGTCTTTTGCTTTCGCTTTGGTAGGCCCTAGGGTCTGGCCGGCGTCTCGCCATTCTTCGACAAAACGAGAGAAACAAGACAGAGGAGGAAAGACAGAGGGTGCCGCGTGCAAGAAAGCGCGGGCGTGAAGATCGAAGTAGGAACGCAATTCTAGAGTGCCGAAATATAAAGGGGTGAAAGAGAGCGAGTGTCAAACAAGTGTATAAAAGAAAGATAGGAAGAAGAAAGAAGTGAGGAGGGAGGATGACAGAGGAGAGACAGAAAGAGAAAGAGAGCGGCGGTAGGTATATATACGCTTTAGTTCTTCTAAAGCGGGCAAAGACCTTCTCTCACTTCTTCCCCTTCTCTCAGACTCTAGTCAGGTCAGCCAAGATGCATCCGCAAAATTGCAGACTTCAGTGAAACGCCGCCGCCGCTGCTGTTACTCGACTCCGATCAGCTCAGTTCAGCTTGGTGGACAGCGCCTCCTAGCTCGGCTACCAACCAGCTACTGCAGGTACCACTCGTTTTCTGCAGTTGCCATTGCCCAAGTGATCTCGTCAAAAATTTAAGATGTCCTCCTTCTATCCGAGAACGCCGCTCTCGAGTCTCCTCCATCGTCCTTTCTATTTCGCTATTTCCAACTTGAAAACGACTTCCTCTTCGGAACGACAGATATCTGTAGTGCTTCTTTTCCATTCAGCCTTCTCTTTCATTTTTTTTTACAAGATTCGCTAGAGAATTGCCGAAAACAACCCTGCTCGTCTCAAGAGAAAGCACAAGTCTCAAGAAAAAAGAAAGATTGAAGTGGCAATGGAAGAGGAAAAAAAAAGGATGACTGCCTGTAGGCGAATACCTTTGAGACGCAGCTATTTCCTATTTTTTTTCTCTTTGTTCGATCCCCGCGCGTCTCGTTACCGGTTACTTTTTCCTTCCTCCAAAAAGTAGACGTAAACACGACGGGGAATTCATTCTGTCTCTCCCGTGGATCGTTCACTAGGTAGGTGGTTGGCCATCTCCTTCAATGAGCGAAGGCCTCTCTTTCTTCCTCTTTGTCTCTCTCCATCTTGCCTCGCGTCCTCTTCCGGACCAGACCTCTTTCCGTATACTCACTACCCAGGTAGGTATTTGCCAAATTGCAAATTTCGGGAGGCAGCGGAGGCCTTCCGACTCGAGTGGCTCGTGAAAATTTTAAGCCTTGCCTCTATGCGATGCTGTGTCTCCTCCAACGAGCTTCGCGTCGAGTCGAGTCGCGACACACTTGCCCGTTGGATCGACGCAAACCCACAAAAAGGGGAAGGTAGAAGAGGGAGAGACACAACTGAGAGTGCGCCTCTGATACATATATACTATGTACAATGCCTCTCTTCGGCTTACGGAATATCTTCGAGTGCACTTGCTTTCTTTCAAGGTGAAAAACCTCCCTCTCTCCCCTCCAGTCTCGTGACGTTGCGTTCGTGTTTCCATCCCCATTCGCCACGAACCTTCCGACCACTCTTCGCACCCAACTCCCGCGGGAAACTTTCGCCAATGCAGCTTAGCTTGGACGTTTTTATCCAGATTAAGACGCTTCCCGTCGTTGCTGTTTCACGGAGTTTATTTCGAACAAGTTTGTTATCCGAACGAAAGTCTGTCGGTATCTTCGAAACATGATGAATGGTACTTTGATTGTTACGATGTTACAAGGAAGGTAAAGATATATCACACATAACGGAAGCCTATCGCTTAATTCATGCCACTCAATCTTATAGAATTATACGCTTGATCTAACGGATTTTTTAGAGATTTTTTTAAGAGACACCGCATTCCAGCAGGAAATTTTTCATTTCGTCAATAATTTTTATATAAAATATAAATAATAAAAGAAAAGAAATCGGATTTTCAAGACTTGCACGAGAATAATAATTAACGCATCATTATAATTTTATTTTTCTAATCGATGATAATGGAAATCTATATTTTTACTTCCTACGGAAAAAATTCTTTTTATCTCTCATCCAGCATTTTTTCGCTATTTAGAGAAAGAGAGAGCATTAAAATAATCTCGCGTAGAGCCACGTGCGAGTCCTCGCTCATCTTCTTTCTCCTCTTCTTGTTCTTCACCTTTCGGCGACTCGGCAGGCTCTCGCTTTCGCTCTTCTTGTTTCTAGCGTTTCGTCGGACTTTCCTCGCACCACCGCCGGCGCCCGTGACCGCCCCGGGACAAATTCTATTTCCGGTTGAATTTAAGACCCCCCGGAATACACGGATTTATTTCACCGACGTGCCGCGTGCAGCGGGGAGGGATGAGGAGAGGAGAGGAGAGGAGAGGAGAGGAGAGGAGAGGAGCGGCGCGGTTTTACTCCGGATCCAACGAGGCTCGTAAACGTAACAAAGAAAAGATGTATACTCTGGAGACGAGAGAAGCAACGCAGACACGAACGCAGGGCGAAGAGCGGAGGAGGCTTGCGAAGGGCGTAGGAGAAAGAGTAGGTTCCTCGAAATTATTATACCTTGGACGATCGCCATTCTCGGAGCGATCTGGGCGCTATTATTTTTCCAAAACTACGTCTTCTACCTCGAACCCAATTTCTTCTCTTTTTTTTTAAATTCTTTTTCTTCCTCACCTAGCCGACATTTACGATAGTAACGATCGTCCGGTTAACGAGTGACGGATAGACGCAAGAACCGAGACAACTTCCATTCTTGATAAATGAGAGACATCGTCGTTAAGGCATCCATCGCGTGATCGGGTCTACTTTTTAGAATCTCCATCCACGATCCTATTCGAGATTTTATTGCGATGTGTTTGTAACGATAAGAATTTCAAAACAATTCTTTGAGACATTATGTCATCTCTTTTCTTTTATATCTTCCTTTGAATCTTCCATGTGCTTGTTTCAGTCGGTTCTATTATTTGTTTCCGTTTCTTTGATTTATACCGTTTGTATAGTATACCTACGCTTAGAATTTCAGTTTATGCTGACGATAAATAA